TACCTACATACCTACCTACATACATACATACATACATACATACATACCTACGTACATACATACATACATACATACATACATATTGTACACTTTTGATCTTAAACATGATGTAAAACTCAAGTAGCAGAAATGAAAGAAATACCTATTCCATTCCATTGCTACTTCAAGTTCATGATTTCGTTCTTTTTCTTGAGGCCGAGGAGGAAGAGGAGAAGGAGGAGGAGGAGGAGTGGGGTCAACCCTTTTGAATTGAAACCTTATGCGAACGGCACATCGCCTCCAGATAGCGGAAATGCAAGAAAAACCTCTTTTCAGACTGCAATATCTTGAGGTTGACTTCCCGGCCCCCCCCCCCTCCCTCCCCTCCCCCAGTCCACCAAAGCTTATAAGCCAGACCCATTACTTTAAAAAATATCTTCTCTTATCTCAGATTCATACATAGCAGACTTCAAGGTGTCGCCACGGAACTAAATTATAAAAGCTGCTTCAATAAGAAGCTTTAGTAGAATTTCCATTTTCTCTATTTTCATATGTTCAAAAACCCAGGCCCCACAGCAACACCTCCTGAAGGCCCCACAGCGACACGGCCTCAACCCTTAACCCTTAACCAGCCTTCCCATCGGCTGTGATACTCGACGACGGCCTCCAGAGCAGGAGCTGCTATGCGCTTTTGTTTCAAACTTTGGGGCCTGAGTGTGCCATAAACCCGACATTTGTAACAGGTCCTAAGTTTGGGTCACTTCAACCAAGCTGGCCACTGCACACTGGATGCCAAGCCGCCGCTTCCCGCTTGGTCTATCCCTCAACCCTGAATCTTTAATCCCCAAGCACATTTACGGCTTACCCGGGGCTTCAGATGTAAGGTTAGGGCTTCGGGAGCTTTCACGCTGCAATGCAAACCCTTGAACCTAAATCCTGAGCCGCAGCCCTTGCAAGCGCAAGGCTCGCTTTCAAGCGGCCGTAGTCCTTCTAGTCCTTGTCTAAGCTACTAAAGTCCAAGCGCTAAACCCTTAAACGCCTTAACCTAAACCCGGAACCCTGAAGCTTAAACCCGAAATCGTGAAGCCCTAAGCCTTAAACCGTGGAACCTGGAAGCTGCTGTCGTTGCTGGAGTGGGCGAACCTAAGAAAAGGTGCCGGTTTCGTAGCTACAGCAAGGTTGAAGGTTATACGTAGGCTCATCAAGCTAAACGCGGCGTGGGTCAGTTGATTGTACAAACTTCTGGAAGGCTTTGGAATGGATTTTACAACCTGCCCGTGGAAGTAGGCTAGCAAGACAGCCATGCAACCACCATGTTCTTTTGTGCTTACTTAAATTGTGTGCATTCCAACTGAGATACGCTTTTGGGACACATTTCCAGCAGGGCTCTAACAGGACCATGGTCCTGACTATGTACACCGGCATGGTTGAGATCTGCATTTGATCTGTGAAGCTTCCATGGCTCTAGCTTGAACAGTGCTGCTTCTACCTCATTGCTGGTTTACAGACCTTTTGACCAGAGCAATGTGATTTTGGCTGAGCAATGGTTTGTCATGCGTCATCCATGAAGTCCAGTTTGGCCCGCCCAAGCTTCTCAGCTTACAGAATATGCTTTGTTTGCGGCATAAGAAGGGGGTTGAGGCTTAGGGCCTGGGATCTACGTGTGCACCGCGTTGGGGAGAGTGGTCTTCGTTAAAGCAACTTCTGTACAATCCCTAGATTCGTTCCACTGACAGCGTGAAATTTTGAAAGTGGTCACATCCCGAACAACCTTCCTTAACCCCAACTCCCCCAAAGCGTGAACATGCTTTCACAAGAAGGGAAGCCTCACAATTTGGCACAATTTGAGGATCAAAGGAATTCTAGTAAGCCTGGACCCTAAATCCGTAAATCTAAGGCTTTCTATGCTTCTTAAACCACCAGCCAAACCCTGGTCCCCAAATTAAAGCTGTCAGGGATGCCTAAAACCCGCAACCTCTGCACCCCTGAGGGGCTCAAACCCCCAACACTACAACTTGGAACTCCATACTCCAAACCCCAAACCATTAGCCGTGACCCTAATCGTTGCACTCTGGACACTCGAGTCAAGACCCTATCAGTCATTCTGGAAAAGCTTAGAGTCCCGCTAAGGATGCCCCTGGCGGAATCTGTGGAGGAGCCTATTCGTCCTGCCACACAGCAGGGCTTCCTGATTGAACCCTAGTTGTCTGGGTTCTAGCAGGGGCGCTTAGAGCCCAACGCTTGAACAACAACTCCAATTACAGTCTCTGACTGCATCGTTTTGAGGGTTCCAGGCTTTTAAATGCCTGTTTAGTCATAGGGGTTTTAGGGCTTAGGGGTTATGGTTGAGGAGTTTAGGATAGTTTAGGAATCAGGGTTTTTCAAAATATGGTTAGGACTTCAGGGACCCTCGACACCTACAGGGACTACACAGGGATCCAGAGGAGGCTTAGCACAGATTCAAGCGGGCAGTTTTTCGAGACTTTCAACCTGTAAGCCACACGCTGAGAACTACATACTCTCGCCTTCAGGTTCCGCAACATCAGCAGAGATGCCCTCCCCATGAAGCCACACCGAGGAATGCAGATGACCGTGCTGAGAGGTTTCGGGCTAAGGGCTTCCCAAGGCTAGTCTGTTGTCCAGAAATTCTGTGCGCCTTCATGATCCTATTCGGAACCCTTACTGATCTTACAGCTCTACGATTCGTAAGCCCTTGGAGGACAAGTTCCGCATCTCACATACTACCTGCACTGAATTCTTCAACTGACCGTTCTACACAACAACGCTAGGCCCGTGGTGCTTATTTGATACAAAGCTGCAACTCCAAACATGAAAAATCCCTTGCCCAGGCCAATTCCACGCCGTCGACCACACGGTCTAGAATTGAGGGTTGAGGGTTTAAGGTTTAAGGGACAGAAGACCAGATTGCCTGGGGTTTGTAACGACTTGCAGTCAGAAAATGGAGGAATTCTTGCGGATTGCAGATGCCCGTGGGCAAAGTTTGGTAGCCCGTGTCTGAGCAAGTAGAATGTCAATCCCGGCATTTCTTCAACGCTTAAAAGTCGTCTCAAGAGTCCCTGAGCCTCCAAATAGAAGCTTAGCGGCTTAGCGTAGAAACTTGCTGCGCATTCCTGAAGTCTGGAACTCTGAGCCCAAAAAACCCTGGACTGGACCGAGACCCTTAGCCTGAACCCTGGAACTTAACCCTGAAATAAATGCAATGCCCAACCTGGACAGATCCAGATCTCCCCCCCCCCGCATGAAACCCTTGAACAATGAATCCTGGACAACTCAAGCCACTGTCCTGCAGATCCGATCTTCTCGGCCTCCTGTCACATGGAGGTCTTGAGGTCGGGCTACGCAGGGGGATGTAGTGTTATCGGATTGAAGGTGTGGAGTTCAGAATGTTCAAGATTTGGATTCAAGGTTCGAGGTCATGCAGGAAAAGGGAAAGGACCATCGTAGCGCTTTGTGGAGACCTTGTAGAAACTGATTTGGAAAACTCTGACAGACAGAAACCTACAAAGCTAAGGTGAAAAATGGGCCTGTTCATGACTTGTCTGATTGGCATTTCAGCTTGAACGTGGTGTGTGCTCACATGCTCGTGCTATCACTAGCCGATTTAAGATGATACTACTACAAGCATCAACCAAGCCCATTTGCTTCAAATTTGAAGCCCATAAAAATGGGTTTGGGGTTGAAAAGCTTGGGGCAGCAGGCGGGATGGCAGCTATACTGATACAAGCAACTAACAATACCGCCGTGGAGAAGAATGCCGATCGTTGGTGCAAGCCGTCAGCCGTCAGCTGCGCATGCAAGTTGAGATATCAAAAGTCACAGTTTAAACCCGCAACCACAAGCCCCCATAACCCAAGCCCGAAACCCGCCATTCCCGTGTGCACGTGCAACATCCTGAGCTCCCAGAACTGCTCATATGGACAAACTGAACCACCTGAAGCTTGAGCATCGATCACTTGGCATTTGAAGCATTGAGCCGTACAGAAAATGCCTTCCTTTGGGGTGTAGGGTACGGGCTTCAAAATAGAAGTCATTTACTGCTGATGGAAGGGTCTTGCTCCACCTGGGGTCCCCAGGGCCCCAGAATCCCCAAACTATCGCAATTCCTGAGATATGAGATACTTCGGCTGTGTACTCAGTGCTCGAGACATTGATGGAATGACTTCGTGGTTTTATGTATCTTTGATTGAGTGAAATAGCTTGCACCCACGCTACAATGCAAATCTGAACCCTCAGCTATGAACCTTCAACCCCTGATGGCCTGGTAGTTGGCGTGCGTGATCCTGGCAGAGGAAAGCAGCGGGCAACATCATGGTCAAGTTGGAGATTGAGCATGTGGGGGTTCGGGTTAGTAGGCTCACAGTGTGAAGTTGAGCAGGGAGTGTATTTGGTCGTAACTTTCTGATGTGGCAGGTTGAAGATTAAGATTGAGCTTGGGGTTAGAGTCGGGTGGCTTGGAACTCAGATACAAATATCAGACCATGTGACGCTCCCAGCTCAGTCCAATCTGATGCCTAATGTTGCATCAGCGCCCTGGCATCCTGAGGATGTAAAAATTGTGAAGGGAACACCCGAAGAAAACTTTGGAGATCCTGCACACGGCCCTCGCACCTGATCGGGAACCCAATTCTTGTAGTCTAGAAAACTGCAAATAGTATCCTTTTGAACTCAAGTTCTTGCGCGCTCTGATATCTGAATCCCTACACGGCCAACAGAAGCCCCAGGAAACAGTCACTTGTGGGGAACATGGGCGCCACATCCCCACAAGAGGTTGCAAGCTAAACCCCATTCATAATTCAGAGCTGTGCTTCCCTACGACAACAGCAAAAGAGCGAGTCCTGATCGTATTAGACGCAGCTTCGATTCAGAGCTTCGTGATCTCTGAAGAGCAGGGAAACCAAAGGAGGGTTCGGGCATACGACTTCCCCAGGGCGTACTGCTATGTCTCAACTGTGTCCAGCTTTAACATCCCAAAAAAGATCCATCTCATTGAGAACTGAAGAACGAACCAGAATGTGGTGACTACGCCTCAAAGGGCAAGATCCCCGCAACAACTGCCTGCGCCCTCAACCCTAAACTTTAGGACTCTAAGCTCCTCTAGGCAGCACAGTGCGCAGAGGGAGAAGCAAATAGTGTCCCCAGGCACGTGGGATGAAATGTCGGACTGACCCCGAATTACACCTCACAACATGAAGCCTAGATCCAAAAAATAAACGCCAAACTGAACTGCTGGGCAGACCCAATCCGCTTTGGCAACTCGAAGGGCGTGAAGATCGCGTCCCTAAACTCCTAGGAAGCAAACTTTGGATTTAGAGATCTGTGTTGAGGGTTGAAGGTTGAGGTTTAAAGTTCAGGATTTGGGCATTCAGGTTTAGGGTGCAACGCTTAGAGTTACTTGGGCGGGAGTCAAGCAGGCAAACTTTTCTCCTCAGCTCCTTCAGGAGCTGTAAATACACCTGAACAATTCCAAGATTCGATAGCGGATGTCCACAGAAAGGCTTGGGAGAATCCCTCGCCAAACGGAAACTCGCAAGCCAATAAATCCAGCAACACGCCAGCCCACAACCTCCAGAACTACAGAATACCAAGCCGTGAAGCCCTCCATACTCCTGCCCTGAAACCCCGGCCAGAACTTCTAAAATCTTGCGGCCCTACTGGACAGTATTTTGAAGATATGTCGGAGCTAAACCCGGATCAGATCTTTCACGTTGCAGCGCTGCATCTCAGGCTCTGTGGCAATCCTACGAGCTTTCCTGAGGATACAAACAACATCATCCCGGATATAGGGAGGGGGGCTCATAGAACATGTCTCCAAAGACATGTTCAAGGTTCAGGGTCAGCAATCATCATTACAAATACGCAGCGGCGTAATTGAGCACACCGTTGGGTTGAAGAACAATAGGCTGCCTAGGTTGCGGCAAATGTGCAAACCCACATTCAACTCGCCTCTTTCAACCCGAGGACGGGGACACCGCCCTGGTCGTCAAAATCACCTCTTGGGGACTTTTTGCTTGAGTGCTGAGGGTTAAGAGCTTCAGGATGAGGGAAGATGTTTCAGAACTCAGCATCTAAGAACTTGGATTTCAGGCTTGTACACCACGTTACCAAACCCCTAGGCCATCCGCCCTCACTTGTCTCTAACAGCGGAGAATCCCAAACATGAACTGCCTTACGTATGATTGTAACAGAGTTGACTCTGACCAAAACAATCTGAACTTCTAACCCTACCTAGCCAAAGAAGCAGAGCTACACTGCATTCGCTCCCTTAGTGTACCCTTGTTCCCTTGCAGGGTTCTGGGTTCCGTAAACAGCTACTCAACTCCAAACCGACCCTGAAATAGGCCTGATAACCTCTCAAAATATCAAACTCAGTTGGAAAAAAGCTACAGCTCTTAAACACCACGGCAACAAGACCCGAAACCTAAAACCTTAAACACTGAACCCGAGATGCTAAAACCCAAAACCCTTCAATCCCAGACACTGAAGCGCTGCATCCTCAGTCTGAAGAATTCCTGCTAAACCCGCAGACCCAAACTTCGCTGAAGACATCCCCGACCGAAAAAAGTTGGTGCTCCGCCTTTCCGCCACTTGTGCTCTGGCTTGTTGGCGTAGGAGGCATAGGTTGGCCTGGGGTTTGCAGACTATATAAGTGGACTTGGGATTTAGGGTTCATCATTTTGAGCTGAATGAGCAGAAGGTTTCGGGTGAGGGGGCTTAGGATTCATGGGTTTTCGGCGTTTAGGATTGAGGCAACAACAACATGGTAGCGGGCTTTGGCTTTAAGGTACTAACGTTGAGGGTTCGTAAAGATGTTACTGATGATTGAACCTGTGACTAACACCGACACTGGGCTTGGGTGTAGGGTTTGGCTTCGGTCGGCCGGTGTTGGGATTTGGGGATCTGCTTGCGTTTCCTTTGGATCCAATGTATCTGCGCTACTATACAACATGTTCATATGGGGATGTGAAGTGTGTCTGATATCACGCGTGAGATTACCCTGCCTTGGTGAGCTATAGCATACCGCGTGGCGCAGCAAATGGGCGTCATAACATCATACAAGCGCAGGCAGGACGAGAATGAAACGTTTAGCAAGTGCAATGTTTGCATGAACCTCTGACCCGAGCCACAGCATCCGAACATGAAACCCTGAATCCGCAACCCGTATTCCTAACCCTAAAGCCTCCATATCCCCATGCAACTGTCAAGGCAGTTCTGGAAGCCCTTGCTGCATCGCATAGACAGGATCATCCCAACTCCACGTCCTGGCATGACATGCATTCCTAGCTTTCGCCTTTGAAGGGGGAAGGATTCAGGGTTTTGAGTTGAGGGCTTAAGCCCCAGAGCCAAACTACGCGAGGGTTGCGGAGAATTCAGGATTTTTTGAAAATGGTGGATGTTAAGGGATTCCAAGTTTGATGGTGTTCCCTCGTGGGACGAACTCGTGCTCAGAGAAATTCTCAAATACAAATGCTATATGCCGTTACAAGAAAGGCTGACTCCTGAGAGGTTCTGTAATTTTTCCAGAACTTGGATTTGTTGAAAGAAGCCTGAACCGTAAACACATGCTACGGCTTGGAGTCTTGGTTAAAAGTTGTGAGAGCGCTGGGCCCCAGATCTTGATTGCATGGCTTTGGGCTAGAATCCTCTGCCCAAATCAGGGAAGCTGAGTGTGTGCAGTGTATCATCTGTGCTTCGGGAAGCTGCGCGGCTTCCCAGACCCGGACGCACCTGTCAGCTAACCCCAGTCCTGAACCCTGAACCCTAAACTAAGCTACAAGCTGTGCAAACAAAGATCAATCGCGGCCAGCACGGCTTCTGCGGCTGCCGGGGAGGCTCCGGAGCCTCCATGCACACAGGTTTTTGACGATTCTTTGAAGGTTTGGGGCGCAGTGTTCGGGGCTTTGGTTTGGGACTTAGAGTTTCATTTGGCAATAATTTGTGATACACTTGTAAGGTGTAGGGGCCGGGCGTTCTGTGCATTCAAGGGCGAATATAACAGCCATCAGGCTTCATGCAGGGTTTAGGGGGTCGAAGGTTTTCGAAATGCGGTGTCAAGTTTAGGTTTTGGGGTTGTTCAGGCATCAACTTGAAGGGACGAAAGCTGGAGGTTCAAAGCTTTGTCTTTGGGGCGACGAGGTTCTATAGTAGAGCTGTTGGCTGAAAGGCCTGCAAACCCGTGGTTTTGGGGTTAGAGTTTAGGGGTCCCAAAGCGCAACAGCATATCTTTATCCATGAACCCCAAAAAAACGCAGCATGAACCCAAAATGCTAAGCTCTACATCCCGCCTCTCTCCTCTCTGGGGGCGGCGGGGGCGGCCGAGGAAGTACAGGTTCCTCTTCAACCTTGTCCTTTTGACAGCAGCTCTCTGGAAGGGTTGGGGCCAGGGCTGGGACCTAGCCCTGGTTTGCAGAAAGTTTCGGGTCGGGGATCCGGTCCTCAAGCTTTGCAGGGCATTGGGAGCGGCCTTGATGGAAAAGACTCGAAGATAATCTTGGACCTATGATTCTTCAGGCCCTGCACAAAAGGCTGAGTCCTTCGTGGCTCGGACCGCCTCCACAGGTTTCCTGTCTGCTTCTGCCGGCTGCGAAGCCTGTGTTTGGTGCTTGGATTTCCTATGCGCTGTACTGCAGGGCTCCGGGGAGTACCTGATGGTAATGTCACTTACGTGCACATAGAGTTTAGGGATGCTCTGACTCTAGGGCGGCAGATTTCATGAGTTGAGGGTCATGCCGTTTACCTGTAGTGAATCAAGGCGTGAATTCAAGGGTGTAGGGCAGCGCCCGGCAAACAGCGGCATCGCTCGTCAGCAAACACCATTGAGTCAGACATATCAACGCCCCGCTTGTCGCAGGAGGTCATTGAGGTTGTTGTTAAGGTTGAGCATTTTCCTTGAAAGAGGAGCTCCATAAACGATCGCGGGTCGTCATCGTCTAAACGTGTGGCAAGCTGGTCCTTGCCAATCTGCTCCTCTTCCAATCAGCTCCCCCTATCTTAAAAAAGTCGAATGACAAATATGCCAATAATGTATGTAGTACACTGTCGCTGAATGTACTTTTAAGTGGCGGCTTTAGGATAGGTGGAAGGGGTTATGGTCTTCAAAATCTGATGTTTGATGTGAGCAATGAGCAGCTCAACGTAAGACCAGATCGAGGTATCATGTTCTGGATAGTATCCGACTCTGAAGAGAGAAGTACCTTCTTGCAGGCAAAGCGGGTGACCTCCTGAATTCTGAATATGTGAGTGCGCAAGTAGTTGGAACAGGGCTTCGCGGATAACAAGCAGAAGTGCAAAAGGATGATAGTGTTTTTAGTTGTTCAGGCTTCTAAATACACCTCACGGCTTGTTGCAAAACAAGACGGGCAGTGAAATGTCGTAATTCCCAGCGAGAATGGTTCATCTGCCACATATATGATTTCCTCCCCCATCGTGCCCACTAATACAACAAGATCACGTGACTTCAAAGTTCACGTCTTAGGGTTTGGTGTCTGGGTCACTGAGAAACGAGACTGATGCAACCTCAACCCTACAGGAAGCTCTTGTACTTATGCTGTCAAGCTGATGGGCTAAGCCATCTAAGCGCTGAGGGTTCCAGGCAGGGTTCTACTGCTGGAGGAGGCTGCTCACCTTAAAGTGTACATTCTCTGACTAAGCTTCCAATAAATGACACAGAGTTCTTAAATTGCCAAACACGCCTACCATTGCCTCATATTATCTGATGATGCTGATGATGGTGATGATGATGATGATGATGATGAAAACAAAGGGGTCTAAGTTCCAATCAGACGTCTGGGGTAAGGAATCGAGCTATGGGCGCACCTGTCCACCTCCCTGCAACTCCTCACGCATGATTTCTGGTCATTGGGATTTCAGGTTTGTGCCGATGATGCATGGGACCGTGCAGTCGCGCTCATAAATTCTGGGTTGCAATGCAAATCACAGGAGAGAACGAATGACAGCGATGTTATCTGATGTCCTTGCGGTATTTGGAACAACAATGAAAAGAGTAAGAGTATCCCACTTAGCCCAGAGCCTAGATCCTAAACCCTCTGCTCTGCACCCTTGTGTACTCCAAGCGCAGCCCTTTTAAACAATCTCTGCATACTCCCTACGACTCCTTGTAGGAGGCTTCACCATCACCAAAAAACCGTTCTGATCATCTGATCCCTGCAAGCTAAACCTCCTGAAACGTACTAGGCAGCACACCTTCGTGCAATCTGCCAGATACGCGATCTGGCTTCGAGTGCAGAGGACTAGGGATTCAGGACAAATGTGAGGACGTGAGGTGTGTAAAAATGCTGCAAGGGGTAAGGCCTTAACCACAGCGTCATGGAACATAGTTCTTTGTTACGGCAGGGGATGCGCGCTCAGGGTTGAGGGTGCATAAATGGCTGGAGTTTGCACTGGGTTTGTAAACGGACAAAAGCTCAAATAAGCTAAAAAAAGCAATCATGAAGGCATCTGAGACTTACTGATGTAAACTCGGAAGTCTCCCTGCCCAGAATCCCTGCATGTCCCTTGGGCGCACGTACTTTACGCAGCCTCATTGTGGATTCGGCCTGAAGATCAAAGTCTGGAAGGTTTACTAGTGGTGTGGGTCGCCAGGAAAAAGGGAGCCCTGACAGGGATCCTTCCTCATGTGCGCATTTCTTTGCGTGCTTGCTTGTCAAAAGCTGCAACACACATCTAGCTCATCATATGCTCATTCAGATACGATGAGCGCCGATCCTGCGGCACTGCTGCATCCCTCTAGATTCAGCTGTAAAACTGAGGAATAGCCCAGATAGTTTACAAAAGATTCTTGCCTTCATTGTCGAAATCATAATGTGCCAAAACAAGCTATGGAGAGCCCCAAAAAACTTGCGACAGCACCCTCAGCAGTAGTAACCTCACAATCTTCTTCCTTATTGGCAATGCTTGAACGCCGGATGTGGTCCTTCAACGGCATCATGCGGGTTCTCTCAAAAATGCCATGGCCCGAAGGCTAGAGACGCCAGTCCCTCAATATCCAACCTCTCATCGAGCCTACACGCTTGCAATCTAATCTCCCAACTGATCACTGCAATCTAATCTCCCAACTTCTGACTTTCCCGGTTCGGCACCAGTTCTGCCACCGGGATCTTCACGTAGAGAGGCAGAGCAAGATTCAGAAGAGGTGGACCTAAAAGGTTCCATTTACGTGCGTAAGGCTTGCGCGATTAGAGGTTTCGAGCTAGGGTGAGTAGCGGAAGGCAATTGTGAATGCGCAAAGTCAAACTTAGACCCCGGACCCGAAACCATTTAAGCCTAACACCAACCGCGAGGGGTGAACATTGCATAAGACAGACATCCGTCCGATCCACAATGCGGGGGTTTTGTTCTCCGGCTTCTGAATCTCAAGGCTTCTCAGCGCGAAACTTCAGAAGGGGACTGTCTAATCGGTAGGTCGCAGGACGCAATTAGAAACCCTGCATGCACCCTCAATCGTGGATTGGTGGCAGCAACGTTTCACAACTATGGAATTGGCATGTTATTCTTTTTCATAGTCAGTTAAGACTGTGCATAGTCTGACAAGGTTCCATCCACCAGACAAAATCTCACGCCAGGATATAATTAGAGACGTGAGTAAATGTCACATTTTATGGCTGGTTCATGGAACCTTTGAAAGGACGTCTGCACGCAACCATGCCACCGATACAATCTCAAAGTTCCACGATCTCCGGAAACATCCTACCAAAGGTCCTGCTTCACATGCTCAAAGGCTACGATCAAGGCCGACGACCCCTAGGCGTTATGCATTGGGGGAGGGTCTGCTCCTCCTACAGCTGCATAGCAGGGTTGTCCAATTTTGCAGCTTGAAGCCAGCACCCACTGCCACAAACGCAGCTCCCCCCCCCTAAGCTGTTACAATCCCAAGGTCCTGATTCGCACCAAAATATCTCCTGAAAAAGCCCGGAAAACCCATGAAGCCTCTGTTCTCCGCATCCAACTCCATCTGGATCTTGTGGGAACCTCCAAAGGTGACATTTACGGGCCTCGGACCAGGAAGCATCTTGAAATGGGTGCAATGAATTTAGAGTTTGGGGTCTCGGGTTTGGGGCTATAAGGGGAGCAGCGTCTAGGGATAAGAATGTGAAGTTACCTGTACAATGTTTGGAGTGGGGCTAGGGTTGTCTTCCAAATTCCAAGCCCCAGTTTGGGATCTTGGTAACAAACATGTGCTTGATGCATTTCAGCTATGTAGAGGGGACAGACATGTATATGACGGCTTCACAGAGTGAATTGGGGATTGATGTTTGGGCTTGTGAGCTTGCAAAATTGAGGATCACGAGTGTGCTTATCTGTGCACTTGTTTCGGGCTTGCAACAGGACCTTGAAAAATGAGGATCTGAGGACACGTGTGGGTGCTTTAGGGGTCTCCAAGAAATCTAGCGATTTGCGTACAACTATTCAATGATCAAAGCAACCTCTGCGTCACGCCGCACAGAAAATCAAAGACATCCCACCCCTGTGGCATAGTCCGCCAGAAACAAAAACATCAGTGATCAAGGATTTGTTCTCGAACCTAGCATGATGCAAAATATGTGCTATATTGGTTGCAGAGTATCGGTGCAGGACCTTTTCATTTTCAACCTTGCACAAAACCCTGTACCCAAAGCCCGGAACCAAGAATTAATCAAGCTTTCCGTGCTATGTGGGGACTTTTAAAGGCGCGAAACCCTCCATCCTAAACCCCCTACTCAACCCCAAAACCCCCAAATCCTAAACCCAACAGTCACTACCGCCAGGCTTGGCTTGTCTCGTTGAAGCGAAACTCTCAGGGAGCAAAACTCTCAGGCTCGCCAAGGCCCTGACAGCGAGTATCCGACCTAAGCGGTTTCATTTTTAGGTTTTTTGGTAAGTTGCTTATTACTGTTGAAGCTTGAAGTTGAAGATTTGCGGGCCGGTAGTGCCTTGATTGCAAGTTCACAGTCGTAGACGTGCGTAGCTGTTGATGTATTGATTGTATTTGTTTCCCGAATTCAAGAGTTGGGGACCGAAAAGAACCTGTATGGTAAGAGTTGTATTGCCGGATGTATGAAAGCTTCTCCACACTTTCAATCCCTGAATCCTGGAGCCAAAGCCCGAGAACCCCGCACCAAATTTAGGGGGCCTCTGCACCTAAACCCACCGCGTATAGCTCAAAGCATAACGCTCAGAAACCCCTAAACCCAAGACCTGAAACACATAAGCGCGGCAAAACACAAACAGCCAACATGCCCAGCTACCGCCATGTACTTGAAGGCAAGGACGCCAGCCTTGCAGTTTACAGCTTCAGGCTTAAAACTTCGGGTTGCAAAGAGTCAGGGAGGGTTGAAAAATCATAAATTTGTGATGGAAATTGCCAAATGCACTCGAACAGATGGGCGTGCAGGGAATTAAAACAATCCGGGTGGAATTTCATGTTTTGTCCCCCCTGCTGACAATTGCGGAGCATGGCTTGGAAGGACCAAACAACCTGACGCGAATGCCATCAGGAGATACAGAACCATTGCCACCCAAATGAAACCGGCACCAAAGGTTGGCACAACAGTACTTGCAACAAGCATCTTAATCATAGACCATTGCAGGGTAAGCTTGGCGTGGAATCAATACTTATATGAAGTCCGTAGGAACTGGAACTTCGACGTAAAGCATCGACGTTCGCAAAGCACGGACACCCCAAAGCAGTTTCTTCAAATCACCACTGCCAAACGCACGCTATGTAGAATAACTGCCAAATTTAGAACTTGACTCTGATCCCAAAAACCTTTAGAGATTTGAAGCCAGCAACCTCAAGCCTTGGACCTCCGCCCGTGAGGGCCACACACTGCGACCCGTCGGCGCCGCCAAGAGGAATACGCCCAATTCTGGGCCCCCGGTAGCGCTTCGGCCAACAATGCGGCATCCAATATTGTGGTGAACAAGAATGCCCTTCTAATGTCGAAGCATCATGGGCAAGGCTGCATTGTAGGGCAGAACTACAAAAAAAAATTCAGCAAAGCGTGAATGTAAACATTACAATTATTTCCCCAAGTTTTATGGCAGGCACTCCCAAATATTCACAGTCCAGCGCAATCTAACATATCCAAATTTATGCAATCAAAATAATGAAAACCTATACCATTGCAAAGCTGAGAACGCGCCACATGTAAAACGCGCCACACGTGTTTTCCTGAATGGGGCAAAGATGTCCGAGGTGTAGCTGTGCACTCCGCCAATCTTCGTCAACTTCTTCCACAACTTTTTGTGGTTGCGGACTCCCCTCAGTTCAAACCAAGGCCAAATAGGGAAGCCATTCCCAAGAACATACGGATGATTACGCGACTCGCGTACTTTGTTTTAACTTTGGGTTGGAAAGCGGAACATGCCGTGTTTCCAAAATTTACATCATAAACACGAGCGGATCGTAGGCCTGGCCATTGCATGCCATTGCTGCATGGCTAAGCCTTGGCTAAGCCTTGGCTAAGTCTTGGTTAAGTCTTGGCTAAGCCTTGGCTAAGCCTTGGCTACCCTTACGCGCCCCCGTTGAAATTGTCTGCCCAAGAACCACAAGCAAAAGCCGAATAGTCAAATTTTCACTACTTCTCGGTGCCTGCTCGACTTTTCGATTTTCCGATGTTCCTGGACTTTGCCACTTTCGGGCTAACTTTTCGGCGCCTGCCGACTTTTTGGTGCTTTTCCAACTTTTCGACTTTCTGGGAATTGTCGGAGTTTTAGAGCTTTCAACTGTGCACCACCCACCCACTGACAAAACAACAAAACAAACACCTCATATGCATCCAACACAAACCCAAAAGGAGATCAAAAGCAGCTCCGTCTGTGAAGGCCTTGTAGGCGTCACCACCTGGAGCTCTTGAACGACTTTGCGGCGGTTAAACCCGAGGAGTTAGGCCTTATCCCTAATCACTCAACCCCAACCATTGTGTTGAAAACCCTTAAACTCTACCAAAACCATCAATCTTGAACCCTGCCCTACACCCTACATGCTAAACCGCTTATGCCAAAACTTCTACTCAGAACTCCAAAATATATAATACAAAATTTCACTCTTCACAAAAATCACAATCATTGTAGCGGACGATCTTTTCTTGCTGGAAGCTCACGCTTGGTCATGGGCAAGTCAGGGGCCACACGAGAACACACTCCCCCACCCATGCATCGGTCACTACGTCCAGGCCCTACATCCATACAGGATTTGGCCACAACGGACCCGATATCACGAGAATGGCAACGTGCACTGGAGTGCGAATATTGCCTAGCACCGACTGTAGGCTGGCGCCTACCTGCCTCGCGTCGCCACTGGCAGAGAGCTCGATGCGAGTTTTGTCCCCACTGATAAGGAGGGGGGGCTTGGGTTCATGGAAACATGACTGGGGTCAAGAAGAATGTCACCTGCTTCCCCCCAGTCCATCAAATTGTTTTGCGCCTTTGTGCGTGCTAACGCCCCTCTGGACCTTCTATTTCAGTAGCCTTGCCATTATCCAGAACATCAAGGCCGATCCGCATCTGGATAAAAACAATTTGGCATCAACTTTGAATGCAGTCTTTCCTCTGACAGCCTTCTGGCAAGGAGGCATTTGGTGTGAGTCCGATGATGGGCAGGAAGTCCAAGTCCTGAATGGCAAAGAGGTCCATACAGGTTTTTTTGCAAGCTTTCAAAAGAGGCTGGCGCGTTACCGTCGAAAACTCGGCTCGGTCCTGGATGTGGCGTGCTTGCTCACTACATTCGTCATTCGTGCCACTGCCAATCGCTCCTTCATAGCTTGGTGTGGCCGTCTGTCTGCGGTCAATTTCGACATGTGCATGCATGGAGGCTCCCGTGACAAGCGCACCCGCTTTTTGACCTCAGCCTCCGAGTTGGGCCCCCTTGCCTGCGATTGCGATGGCCTCCATGAGCACAAAAGCTGGAGAGCCCAAACGATTGCGTCAATCTAACACTAAGGCCGCCAGCTTTGCTGCGCCAGAAGTATGCCGCAGCCCTGCATGTCCATGCGCTGCCCGCCATTCAGAGCAGGCCCTTGCCCAGGCCCGTCGGCGCCCTCCTCTGGTGCCCGAGTACAAAAGTTTCCTTCGTCAGCCTTTGCCAGAGTCCGAGTATTGCCTACTTAATTCAAAAAAAAGGGAGCGTCCGGAAGTAGCTCACTCGTAGCAGCAGCCACCTATGCCGTTTACCACTCTAAGGAGGAGTTTGTGCGTAAAACTATCTCTGCTGGGCACCCTTTTCTTGATAGCCGGCTGGTAGACAACAACGTCAACGAGAATGCCTTCTTTATTATGACGCAGGGCCTCTCTGCCATTGCCAAGGTGCCGTCCAGTGGCTGACGCAGCTTCGCAAAGAGATGGCGGCAGAGGAGGCTAGATTTCAGGCCTCATTGCCGACCCACGCCCAAAAAGTGCTGAGTGGAAAATCCGTCCTGTTATGGCGGAAACTTCTTGGTGAGTCTGGCTACCCCGACCCTGAGTTCAAATCCCTCAGACGTTGCATTAGGGGGCACACCATCCAAGTCAGCACTTTACTCGTGGAAGGAGATCCCTGCAACCACCTCAGGGGAGGATCCGTTGGCTTCTTCTCCTTGGAGAAATGTTGTTTTTGTTTTGGGCGTGTGGGCGCTACTCTTACTAACGGAGTCAGTCGCCGTAAGACACGAAATATAATACAAGCACAAGACACTGATTAAGCCAAAAAACACGTATAAAGACCAACATTCATGAAGGTACTTCGTGTCTCTGGCGAGCCGACTACTGGGTGTTCGGCAATCATCTTGTGTGAAAGCCATCCGTTATGTTGGAAACCTTACGTACCGGCGCCTAATGAACAAAAACAGTAGGACAACAGCAAGACAACAGTCAGATAACACGTTGGCATAATCTCATGAGACTAATGAAACATCAGTAAGCACACACACGGGGCGCCAGTAGCATCCAACATACTGCTATGTGTCGTACCTTTGGTGAAACTTTCCGTTAACAATCCAAGAAATGGGGGAAACGTTGTTAAAATAAGGTATAAAAGTTTCCCCAATGTCTCAAACTTGTTCCTCCCTACGTCATCAGGCATGGGACTCAGGTTTCCCAGCGTCTCCATAACCTGGAACTGCACGCTATCCTGCTACCTGCCATCAGGCGTGGGACTCAAACTGCACGCTATTCATATTGGGGGATCCGGGTAGGGGCCCGCGGCCCCATACCCTTCATCTCCCCAGTTCGGCAGGCTACTTGGCAAGGGCTTGCGAGCGGTTTACTGGGAGGGTGTTTCCTCTCTTTGAGCGGCGCCAAGCTCTGCCCGATGGTTCATGATTAGGCGGTGGAGGTTGCAAATACCTCCACGGCGTTTGAACGGTGCTCTGAGGCTGTCTGGACTCGGGAGGCGTGACTGGGGTGGCCTCTTATCGACAGTGATAAGAAGCGGAAAATCCTCTCTAGCGGCCTGGACTTCTTGCAGTGTGAGATACAGCTTGTCATACGGGAGTTGTTCCGGCATCGGGCATAGTCGGCTCTTGGCCGTTGGTGAGAGAGGAGCCTCTCCCATGCTGCTGCTCGCAGGCAAGAAGTTTTCGCGTGAGCTCAGCTGTTCACGATACATGCAGGGGCTGCTGCCACGGGGACTTAAGGTCCTTGGATTCTGGGACAGAGGTTGCCTCGAAGGCATGGTGAGACAAGAATTGACTGGCAAGTCTCATTGCTGTGGAAGGGCCAGTAGAGCTGTACTTGGCTCCCTTCAGACCTTGTGACCGGGATTGGCGTTCTGTCTAAGAGGTAAATTCCCGGGACGACGCCGGCCCCATTGGCGACTATCCCTGCAGCGCAGTCCTTTGACAGGTGCTGTTTGTTGTGTATCATAAAGGGTGGGCAGTTGCTCACTGTCCACCCTCGTTCAGGAATTTCATGGTCCTCTGGCGGTCCCTGCGTTGCGTTGGCGGTACTCCCGCTTCTAGCACCTCGCTTTGGATTAGGTGCATTCCTGGAGCGCTTCATGGCCGGCATAGGATCAGTACGATCAGTCTGACCTAGTCTCGGCCATTCTGCATCTGCAGCTCCTTCCTGGCAATCTGGATTCTGGAAAAGCCCAAGGTATGGGCTCGAGGCCCATCCTCTGACGCCTTTTTCCTCATGTCCATTTGCACTTTGCTTTGCGGCTCTCTATGCGACTCAGCGCGTTGATCAACCTTCCTGGCGGGTGGTTTTTCCACTGGGTACGTTAAAAACAAAGATGTCCAACC